TTTATTATTTTTATTTAGATTTTTTATTATTTCATTCTACGTAATAAAAATAAAACATAATAAAATAATTATTTTAGTATCTATATTTTTATAAGTATTTTTTATTTCTCGTCACATCTCTATCATCTTAACAGGGGCTTCAGAACAGCAAAATCGAGGGAGACAAGACGTCAAGCTGGTTCACCAATGGGAACATGTCACGAACAATAACGCTGGGGCGTTACATTTAAAATTTAATTTTTTAAAAATATTCCCCGTGGAGGATGCGGGAATCGAACTTAACAACGAAGAGTTTAGTGCGTTCAGTGGCGTGCTCACGCTACCAACGACACTAAACTCTTGGTAGCATCGCGAGGGTCCTAGTGTAGTTACTAGCGTGCCAGTTGTGTGTGTTAGCGAGCTCTGTGCTGTTAGCAAGACATTTCACACCGTCTGTCCTTGTACTGGACGTGCATTCGAGATGTGTTCACTTCATTTTATTATGTTTTATTTTTATTATAAAACATAATAAAATAATTATTTTATTACGTATAATAAAATTATTATTTTATTATGTTTTAATTTTATTATAAAACGTAATAAAATAATTCATTTATTACGTATAATAAAATAATTATTATAATAAAATAAATGTTTTATTATAATTTTTTATTATAATAAAAATAGTAAAAGAATTATTTTGTTATGTTTTATTTTGATTATTTTATTATTTCCATCCTACGTAATAAAAATAAAACATAATAAAATAATTCTTTTAGTATGTATAATAAAAAAAATACTTTATTATGCTTTATTTTGATTTTTATATTATTTCCATTCTACGTAATAAAAATAAAACAATAAAATAACTATTTTAATATGTATAATAAAAAAAATACTTTATTATGCTTTATTGAGATTTTTATATTATTTCCATTCTACGTAATAAAAATAAAACATGATAAAATAATTATGTTAGTATGTATACTAAAAGTATTATTTTATTATGTTTTATTTAGATTTTTGTATTATTTCCATTCTACGTAATAAAAATAAAACATAATAAAATAATTATGTTAGTATGTATACTAAAAGTATTATTTTATGATGTTTTATTTTGATTTTTGTATTATTTCCATTCTACGTAATAAAAATAAAACATAATAAAATAATTATTTTAGTATGTATAATAAAATAATTATTGTATTATATTTAATTTTGATTATTTTATTATTTCCATTCTACGTAATAAAAATAAAACATACTAAAATAATCATTTTAGTATGTATATTTTTGGAAATTTTTTTTATTTCTCGTCACATCTCTTTCGCCTTAACTGGGGCTTCAAAACAGCAAAATCGAGGGCGACAAGACGTCAAGCTGGTTCACCAATGTGAACATGTCACCAACAATAACGCTGGCGCGTTACATTTATAATTTGATTTTAAAAAATATTCCCCGTGGAGGAAGCGGGGATCGATCCGGCGACCTAAACATCGGTGAGCGCAACGTACTTAGTGGCGAGCTCACGCTACCAGGTGCGCTGATGTCTCCGTAGCATCGCGAGAGCTTTTTGGCGTCATCTGGTCCAACCCATGTGAGACTAGGCTCTAAGGAAAGCTGTCTCGGGTGTGGACCAATCAACTTCAAGGACAGTGCATACATTATCAGAGTTGTGTTTTTTGTTTGCATTACGACTGCAGGTATTGTGTTCCATGCAAACACGACTCCTTGTACAAAAAGGTGTCAGTTTTGTTGCCAGATAAAAGGGTATCAAACCAATTATCAAGGTTGATCTATATTCTTGGTTCTTTCGGTAAAGTCACGTAGAAGGGAACAAATAAAATAATAGAGACATGTGCAAGTTGCAAGCGGCTCGCATTAATGTTATTTAGAGAGGCGTAGCGCCGTTCTTTTGAAAGGCATCCTCACCGCAACACGACCGCACTATGATGGATGGTGCCAAACCATGTGCCAGGTGCCTCGTTAAGTCTTCAGGGCGAGAGACATGCCGTCATGGGAAAGGGTTACATTGCGTTATTTATTGTGTCCATAGCACGCAGATCGTGTGGTCAACATTTATTTTTTATATTGTCAAGTGGCCTACAAATCTTCTTGGTTCTTTCGGTAAAGTCATCACGTAGAAGGGAAGTAATAAAATAATAAAAATAAAACATAATAAAATAATTCTCACGACGTTTCGGCCACAACGCAAGTAGCCGTCCTCAGGTGAAAACCAGGTCTGTCGGGGAGACAGCGTCTGAATGAAACAGCACACGAGCTTGGAGCATCTATATAATCTGGGTTGGAAGGGGGGGAAAGGGCGCCTTGACAAAATAATTTGCATATCAAGAGGAATTTAGCATATTTATGGGAAATGCAGGAATGTGATTAGTACTACTTATGCCCGTGCATTATGCAGGATTAGCAGCATCAAAGGGAGAGGGATAAGGGAAATGCAGGTATGTGATTAGTACTACTTATGGCCTACAAATGTTAACTTGCAACTTCTTCTTGTTCCAAAACAGTACAAGGTAATCGCTTGGTCAGAACACAGAGTTATGCAGAAGCCATTGACAAGTTTACCGAAGCAATTAGCTTATGTCCGCGAGATCATCGGTAAGTCAACTCCCGTAGTGTAGTTTAACACGTAGGCTTTCGCGACCAATATTATTCATAATCAATGAGTTGATGAGTTAATGATGACGTCATCCTGCTGCTGCTGCTCTATATAAGAATGGGAGACACAGCAGAGCCTCACCATTCTGGCGAATTGCCCGATGATGCTGGATGCAATTACCAGCGAAACGTCGTGCTACTCAAAACTTGTAAATGTTGTGGCTTCACGCTTCAACACACCGGTGGGCTAAAGCAGTGAACTATTTGTCTTTTGTCAACGTGACACTTTTTTGCTGATTGGCCGTGTCGGGTGGTGGAGGGTTACGACACATTTATAAATAACGCCATCTAAACCCAACAACGTTGATTATGAATCTCATAGTGTAACTTGACAATTTTTAAAGCAAAATTTGAATACTAATATTAACATTCCATGAGCATTAAACACTTCTATACAGCCAATTTGAGTTGATGGAAAGTAGCTTGGCAGTTCAACGTCGTGTGTGTGTGTGACAGGCATAATGCATTCTAAAGGCAAAATGTTGCGTGATAAAGTTGGCAGGATGGGAACATCACAGCGAGTTACGACTTAAACTGCTTGATGACGTCTTTCCAATGATTGCCGAGTTTGTACCCATCCTCTCGGTTGAAACTGTGTCTGTATATATGGATGGCTTCATGAACAAATCTTTGTTGATAGCCAGTGCGCGTACAAAGTACCTTCATCTTAGAGAAATCCTGTGAGCCCACCGCATTGAAACAATGATCAGCCACGGCCGACGCGTTGGTCCTGCCGTGTTTCAGATCCGCCTCATGCTCACGGACACGGTCCGAGACGCCAGGGTACTGCATATCCATATTCTTAGGTTTTTTCGGTAAAGTCACCAGGTAGGTAAAAACATTAAAATTAATAAAAGTAAAATAAAATAAAAATCACGACGTTTCGGAGGCAACACAAGCTTCCGTCTTCAGGTGGAACCGTCACAGCCACGACAGCTGTATCAAGTAGATGTGTTGCCTCCGAAACGTCGTGATTTTTATTTTATTTTAATTTTATTAATTTTAATGTTTTTACCTACATGGTGACTTTACCGAAAAAACCTAAGAATATGAATCCTTGCAGTCACGAAAGCTTCAAATCTAGAATTACTGCATATCCTTCACAGATGGGATCAGATTACGAATTTGACGTAGAGTTAAATGGAGCCTGGATCTTGTGTTTGCTCAAGATTTAGGAAATATTTTGGTGACCCCTGCTATGTATGGCAAGGTGATGGTTTTGATGGTTCTTTCCCAACGTTTGGGGTGAACGCTTTACGGATTGTGTGGTCCGAATATTCATTCAGCTTGAGAGCTTGGTGTACGTGATAAAGTTCACTGGCTCGGTGATGATGGTCGGAGATACATGGAGCTCTATGGTGTAGCGTTTTGATAAGGGAATTCTTTTGGGATGGATGGTGGTGGGAGTCAGGTTTTAGATAAGCATCCGTATGGGCGGCTTTGCTGTAGACAGGGTGTCCCATTGAGCCATCAGTTCTCTTTTCGATTAAAACATCCAAGAATTCTAGATTTGAAGCTTTCGTGACTGCAAGGATTCATATTCTTATGTTTTTTCGGTAAAGTCACGTAGGTAAAAAACCTAAGAATATACATCCAAGAATGGTAACTTGCCATACTTTTCCACCTCAATGGTGAATGTGATGGCTGGGTGTATGTAATTAATGTGGTTGAGGAATTGGTTCAGAGCTGGTAGGCCATGTGGCCAGATGACGAATGTGTCATCTGCGTACCTCTTCCACAAAGACGGATAACAACCTTGTCAACGTGTAACTTTTTAACGTGTTGATCTGTTACCTACATGTTTCCAATCAGATGCAGACATTTTTAAATCCTTTATATTAAGTTCACTCGCTTGCTTGCTTGCGCGCTTACGACCGTGCACATTTTTCGGTCGTTTTTTAACCCACTTCCCGTGAGCCAATCGAGCTGACATTTTGCACACAGACTCGTTGTGCGTGACAATTTATTTTCGTGAAAATTTTTTTTCCAAAATTTGCTACTTTTTAGGAAAAAAAAATTTCATATTTAATTTAAAATAGCAATGTGATAAAAATGGAACTCTTACTCAAGAATAACAGAAATGAATAATAAAATAAAACCGATGCCACGCGTATAAAGGATTTATAGTGAAAAACTTTGTTTTTACGGGTTAATTTTTTAACGTGTTGATCTGTTACCTACATGTTTCCAATCAGACGCAGACATTTTTTCCGTCAACGTTCAGTGTGATTTCAAGAGTGTCTTATCCACATGGCCTAGTTCAATTCGGAGCAATCGAATTCTAAAGATGGTCTGTCAATTGGATTTGATTTCTCATCTGTGTCATTATTCACCAGATTTTATGGAAATCGGTCATTTTGTTTGGAACATCTTGGATTGTACACTGATGCCTTGTTCGATGCGGAGATCGCTATATATCTAAACCCAACATGGCCCCGGGGATACTTCAGACAAGCGCGGGCTTGCATTGGACTGAAGGTAAGGCTGCTGTGTTTGCAATCTTTGACAGTTCACGTGCAATTTGCATTACACCGTTGACTGGTTTTTTTAAAGATAAAGGACTAATTACAGTAAAACCTTGGATTGCGAGCATAAATCGTTTGTAATCCAAAGCACTCGTATATCAAAGCACTCGTTGTTTATCAGTCGTGATCACGTGACAAAGCGTATACTATATGTACTGCTCGTATTGCAAGACGTCGCTCGTTTATCAAGTTAATATTATTTTAAAATCCTTTATATTAAGTTCGCTTGCTTGCTTGCGCGCTTACGACCGTGCAAATCTTTCGGTCGTTTTTTAACCCACTTCCCGTGATCCAATCAAGCTGATATTTTGCACACAGACTCGTTGTGCGTGACAATTAATTTTCGTGAAAAAATTTTTCCATAACTTTACACTTTGTAGGAAAATTTTTTTTTCATATTTAACTTAAAATGCTTGCGTTGTGGCCGAAACGTCGTGAGAATTATTTTATTATGTTTTATTTTTATTATTTTATTACTTCCCTTCTACGTGACTTTACCGAAAGAACCAAGAAGAGGAATCCCTGCAGTCACGAAAGCTTTAAATCAAAAACAAATATCACGTTTTATGTTTCATTTGTTTAATCGTGTTATCGTTGTTATTATTAGGACTTAGATTAAGATCTAATAACATTTTAGGTTTGAAATATGTAAAAGATGTGAAAATCCGAAGGGGTTCACACTTTCTCTCGACCCTGCAGAAGAAAAACAGCCTGTGGAGTATTTGGCTTTGTTCAAATTGTCCGTTTCAATTGCTCAGTAAGTCGTGGAGTTACTCACCCCCCCCCCACCATTATATGAATCGTCAGGAACAGGTGTTGCAATTCAATTCAAGGATAAAATTACTTTATTTCTCCTTTGGATTTTCTCATGTTCTGTCTTGTACTGTGTGCATTCAAATAAGTCCATCAATTGTTGTATGCATGCATTTATTTAATTGTTACATGCCTACTGACCTTCCATTGCGCATGTAAGTTTCTGACTAAACACGTGTTGTGTTTGTTAATTTGACAGCGTTACAGAGAGGCAGAAAGTGCGTTATGTCAGCTGATTTCTTTAAATGTGTCTTCTGAAGAAGCAAAACAAGAGCTTAGGAAAGTGCGAACACTTCTCCTTGTGGTAAGCCGGTGCACCAGTGTCATACATTGTGTGTGCATATTGGAGTGTCTTTAAGTTGAGGCATAAGCAAATGACTTCGGACAATTTTTCACAAGGTAATTGAGTGCAAACGTAATCTCCATCTATATCAAAGGCAAAGTTGTAATTGTGTGTGTTTGTTCAAAATGTTTAGCGTACTTCCCGACATGCAACAAACTGGAAATTAGCCATGTGGCTACTTTCCAGACTGTACACCATGCAGGCATTATAAAAATACACTTTTTTTTGGGGGGGGGAGCTCAATAATGCATTTATTTTTTGCACGGCAAGTGAGCTGTGACGTAAAATCTGTCACGTGACCCGCGCATGTGGAAGCGTAACGCAATGTAGTGTAGTGGTTAGCGTGCCACGCTATGAACGCGGCGTCCCGAGTTCGATTCCCGCTCACGGCCACCGCCGGTGACGATTATTTCAACCGCTCCTGGGCCTCCCCTAGGTCGACTCAGCCTCAAACGAGTAACTGGTGCGGTGTGTGAACATCGCCACTGGGTGAAGCCAGGTAGTACAGCTCGTGTGTGTATTCATGTAAAGTGATTTTCACAGCTGATAAAGTCGTGCGGAACTTTAATGAGAATGTATATATGGCAGAGGTCGCTAACGGGTTTTGATTCCTTACCCATACCCGTACCCGGCCGCACCAGGGTCGCAAATGGGTACCCGTTCCCTACCCGTACCCGTACCCTACCCGAAATGAGTGACGAACGGTGACTCACCAGTGACTCACGGCCTACCCGTACCCGGCCGCACCAGGGTCGCAAACGGCTACCCGTACCCGTACCCTACCCGATACGGGTATCGGGTACCCGGTTGCGACCTCTGATAAATGGTAATGTTGCCCTTTGACCTTGAGCGAAATGGACATTTTGGCCTCGTGCCAAATTCATGATCGCTTGCAGAGTGCCAATTGCCATCTCGCATGCGTGGAATTAATAAGTTAGCACCGTCGTATGTGAAAACCGGTTAGATTTAAAGCTTTCGTGACTGCAGGGATTCATATTGTTGGTTGTTTCGGTAAAGTCACGTAGAAGGGAAATAATAAAATAATATTGTTTTATTGTTTAATATAATATTGTTTAATACTAATATTATTTTATTATTATTTTACCTAGAATACACATCTGGTTTGCCGATGTTTCTCTGCGCTTTTGTAGGAGATGGGCTTTCCACAGCAGCAGTCGGAGGCTGCAATCTTGGAGTACGACACGGTGTACGCCGCTTCAGAAGCACTGCTTCGAAACACAGGTGCTTATTGCAAAGCTTGTATTTTTGAAATGCCGTGTTTGTTGCCATAATTGTCCTAATCCCTACGATGAGCTTTGCTTAGCGTGGATGCTTGATGTGGATGGATACTACAGCTCTGCACAGCGATCTCGCCACGGTGGTAGCAAGATGTTAACTACCTCGCCTGGTATACAGGAGGTCGTGGGTTCTGTGAGATGTTAACTACCTCGCCTGGTATACAGGAGGTCGTGGGTTCTGTGAGATGTTAACTAGCTCGCCTGGTATACAGGAGGTCGTGGGTTCTGTGAGATGTTAACTACCTTGCCTGGTATACAGGAGGTCGTGGGTTCTGTGAGATGTTAACTACCTCGCCTGGCATACAGGAGGTCCTGGGTTCTGTGAGATGTTAACTAGCTCGCCTGGTATACAGGAGGTCGTGGGTTCTGTGAGATGTTAACTACCTCGCCTGGCATACAGGAGGTCGTGGGTTCTGTGAGATGTTAACTACCTCGCCTGGTATACAGGAGGTCGTGGGTTCTGTGAGATGTTAACTACCTCGCCTGGTATACTGGAGGTCGTGGGTTCTGTGAGATGTTAACTACCTCGCCTGGCATACAGGAGGTCGTGGGTTCCATCCCAACCCTGACGCCTGCTGCTGTGTATTGGGAGCTTGCGTGCTCTGTCCATGGTTTTCCCCTTCACATTTAGAAGCATGCGTGTTTAGAGTATTTGCTATAAATTTCCACAAGTCACTTCATTGAGCTTCATTTGTGGCCAGTTGTCATCTGAAAAAGAGATGTTTAGCTTAGTGGCCTTACCTGATAACATTTAAAGTTTGATTCTAGATTGGAAGTTTTCGTGACTGCAAGGATCCATACTCTTTGGTTCTTTCGGAAAAGTCACGTAGGTAGAAAATAAAAATAATGATAAAATTTAAAATACAAATGAAATTAACTCAATTTTAGTTATTTTCATCTTTAAAATTAAAATAACTAAACTTTAGTTATTTTAATTTTACATCTTAATTTTATTCTTTTTTTCACCTACGTGACTTTACCGAAAGAACCAAAGAGTATTTAAAGGTTAGTATCGATTTTAGCAGCAGCCATAACACTCGTCAATTCACAAACTCGGAACTTAAGTACTCACCAATCAGCTGACTGTCACTGATTGCGGTTTGCTCTAATTACATGCAAGTGTAGAGGTGTAATTGCGCATGGCTACGAATGTTGAGGTGTGATTATGCATGGCCACGGATGGCCAACAAACACAATGGGCGGGGTTACGGCCGTACACAAGGGTGGCGCTAGCACCGACGTCCGCATGTGTATCCCCCACGGGCCCCCCCTCGGGGGCGAGTCCTATAAAAGGTGATGAGCTCGAGGGCTCGGGGTCGGGACTCAGCTATAACCAGAGAAGACGGAAGACCAGCTAGTGTAGGCCCCAGAGCTCCCCTGGCTCGCTGTCCTTATAAGGGCCGACCAGGGCAAGCCGGTGGCGTGGCCCCGAGAGCCCAGACGAAGCTGGTCTGGTGACTCAGGGAGCCGGGATCCCAGCTTAACCAAGCTGGGACAGATAGCCTCCCCTAGTCCCGTAGTGGAGGAATTGGTATAGGTTAGAGGGGTTAGCTGTCGAGAAATCCCTGTAGCCCAGTGACCTGTAAATAACTGTGTTGGTGTAATAAATAAGTGTGCCTCCGATCCTGTCGTCAAGCCTCCATATACTTACTACATCTGGTGTCAGAAGTAAAACGTCCAAACGATGGACACACGAGGGACGACACGTACCAAGGAGTCGGAGATGGAAGACGCCGCGGCCGATTCAACACCAGAGATGGCCGGGGTCGGATCGGAGCAGCCGGGGCCAAGTACGCCCGTGCCGCTACGACAAGAGGGGGGGGATGCGTCGGCTGAAGGACTCCGGCTGGCCCACTCCCGCCTGGCGGAACTGCTCTACGCCGCCGCCGCTGCGTTGGAGGAGATCACGCGGCTGGGGGCTGGAGGGGCAGCGCGGGTCGACGACAGCAGCCGGCGCGCGGCAACGTTTCCCGCCACCCCGACGCGGCTGGCGGTTAAATTTCCCGCCATCTCTACAGTGCGAGCGGACGGCGGGGCCGGCCCGCGTCACGTGACTGCTGAGCGCCAAGCACAAGCCGTGACATCATCAACACCGGCCGGCGCGTCAACATCGGAGCGACCGGCGATGCCATGTGCACAGCCCGCCCACACTGTATCATCGGCGGGGAGCGACGGAGAGCGATCTACAGCCACGGACGTCGCCTTGCAGCAGCGTCTGCCACCTCTGAAAGAATTCGTAGGCGCAGACGGAGACTGGGGCGGCTTCAAGAGACGGTTCATCGCTCATCAGGAGATGGCGAACTGGACGGACGCCGAGGCTCTACGCGCGCTGCCAGCGATGCTGGACAACGACGCCCTGGCTACCCTCACCTCGGCGCCGAGGGAAAAGCGCGCCACCCTACACCTGGCGTTGCAGCTGCTGTCAGCCGTCTATGGGCCGCCTTCGGACTGCAGGCAGCTTTTCCACGATCGGCGTCGGGGCACCAACGAATCACCTCTGGCCTTCCGGACTGCTCTCCTGGCTCTAGCGAAGGCTGCTTTCCCAAGGATGGACGAGGAAGGAGTGGATGCCATGGTGGCTGAGAAGCTGCTGCTACTCGCTGATGAGCTGGACGTCAACGTCCTGGCTCAAGACGACTCAGAGATGTCGTCCCTGCTGGTCGCGCGCCACATCCACGGGGGCTTGCGGTCCCTTCGTCGAAAGGCGGCAAAGGGGGCGGCCAGCCATGCCATGGCGGCTACCGCCCTCCCATCGGAGGAGGTCTGCGGGGTGGAGCGGCGAGGGGAATGGAGAGCGGCAGTACCACAGGCTCGGAATGGACCGAGCCGCCAGGAGCAGCCCAGGACATCGGGGGCGCTCACACGCTGCTACAACTGTGGCCTGCAAGGCCACGTTGCGTCAGGATGCCGGGCTCCCCGTCAGCGCGGGGCGACACCTCGTCAGGACGCCACGCCGTCTCCTCCCAAGCTCCAGCAGAGAAATACGGCGAGTCGCGGCACCTCACACGTTTGGCCCACGCACACATCCGACACACACTCACGCGCCCAACTAAACAGGGCTCCAAATTCCCCATCCGTCGCGCGCGATCGTTCGGTAATGCGGCGGGCGCTCCAACCGGGTCAGTGGTCGGAGCTCGCCCATCGTGTCGTTGCTGCGTCGGCGGGATCTTCGGTCGTGGTCGGTCACATTGATGGGGTAGAGGTGCGGATTTTAATTGACACAGGGGCATCGGCGACCATTATATCTGATTTAATTTATAACATCCTTCCCGTTCAAAGTCGTCCCTTGCTCCCTGTTGACGTGCCGTGCTATGCCGCTAACGGGGGCTCTCTGGGCATTATTGGCCAAATCCGCGCCACTATCTGCATTGGGGACATTAAATTATCCGGGCCTGTTTTGGTTTCCTCCTCACTCGCGGTTCCGTGCCTGTTGGGGACGGATTTTCTGGCCAAAATGCCCATCCGCATCCTTATTGACCAAGGGTGCATTGAGCTCCCATCGGGCCGACGCGTTACATTTCTGTCTTCCCCCACCACGGAGCGTCGGGCGTTTGCCACCGTGCAGGCGCTCGTCACAAAAACTGTGCGCGTGCCTCCGGGGGCTCAGATGCTCGTCCCTCTTAGATTGCGTCGGCCGTTTAATGAAGGGGTTGCGGATCGGGGGGTCTTGTTGGGACCATCTCGGGCCGGGGTAAATGGACCAGATTTGCTCGCGGCTCAGACCATGGTGAGGGGGGATGGGGACCCCTTCATTGCAGTCCTTAATGTGGGATCGCGAACGGCCGTGGTTCCTCAAGGGACCGTGCTTGCACACGCAACGCCGGTACCCTATGAGGAACCACTCGTGGGTCAGGTATCCACCGATCCTCCGTCGCGACCGCATTCGGACTGTGATGACGGTTGGCTGGATGCGCTTTGCGCGGGTTCAGTGGACCTGTCCGACTCGCAGCGCGCGCAGCTGCGAGTTCTTCTGAGCGAATTTGCTGACGTTTTTAGTCAACACAAATTTGATATTGGTTGTACTAAATTGCTGCGACACCATATTGACACGGGTGACAGCGCGCCAATCCGCCAAAATCCCTTTCGGTTGAGTCCCGCCGAAAAGGATCATGTCAAATCGGCTGTTGATGACATGCTAGCCGCCGATATCATTTCCCCTTCCAATAGCCCGTGGGGCGCGCCGATCGTTTTGGTGAAAAAACACGACGGATCACTGCGGTTTTGTGTCGACTTTCGGCGTCTGAACAAAATCTCTGTGGCAGATGCGTACCCGCTTCCTCGAATGGATGAGTCGCTCGATGCCTTGGCGGGGGCGCGATTCTTTTCCACCCTCGATTTGCTATCTGGATTCTGGCAGCTTCCTCTGGATGACGAATCAAAACCTAAGACTGCTTTTCGGACACCGCAGGGTCTCTTCCAATTTAACCGCTTGCCGATGGGTTTACATTCTGCGCCGGCAACTTTTCAGCGGTTAATGGAATTGGTCTTGGCAGGGTTGCAATGGGATTCGTGTTTGATTTACTTAGACGATGTCATCGTCTTTAGCAAATCCTTCGAGGAACACCTCCAGAGGTTGCGTGCTGTTTTTCTCAAAATGCGGGCTGCCAATTTGAAATTTAAACCACAGAAGTGCCATTTACTCCGCGAATCGGTGCGATATTTGGGTCACATTGTTGGGCGCTCGGGGATATCCACTGATCCCGCCAAAACGGAATGCGTCAGCTCCTGGCCGACTCCCACCTCTGTGGGAGAGGTCAGGAGTTTCATTGGGTTCGCGTCGTATTATCGGCGATTTGTGGCTGACTTCGCTACGATTGCGAAACCTTTGCATGCCTTGACGTCCAAGGGAGTCAGGTTTCATTGGGGGCCGGAGGAGGAGGCTTCTTTTCGCGCCCTCCGGAATGCTTTGGTGGGGGCGCCGCCGTTGAATTACCCGGATTTTTCACAACCCTTCTTGCTCGATACAGATGCAAGTAACACGGGCATCGGGGGCGTGCTGTCCCAGCTCATTGGGGGCGTAGAGCATGTGGTGGCTTACGGTAGTCGGGTACTGTCTCCAGCCGAACAGCGGTACTGCGTTACCCGTCGGGAATTATTGGCGATTGTTTATTTCATTCAGCAGTACCGCCCGTATCTGTACGGTCGGCGGTTCACCGTCCGTACAGATCATGCGGCCCTACAATACGCCCTGCGGGTTCAACAACCATCGGGCCAGTTGTCTCGATGGTTGGAGATTCTCCAAGACTATGACTTTGTCACCACATATCGTAAGGGTCTCCGCCACACGAACGCTGACGCCCTGTCGCGATTGCCACCCACTTCGGAGTGCGCGTGCCTCTTGGGTTCGGGGCGTTGTAGGTCTCCGAACGTCACCACCGATTCGGTCCTCGTGGCCGCTGCCGATGCACCTTCGGTTTCGGGTCCTATCGAGCAAGAAGGGAGGGATTCGTTGCTGGGGTTGTCAGTCGCGGAATGGGGTCGCCTCCAAATGGAGGACACCTCCCTCCTCGCTCTGCGCCGTCGCGCCGGGGGGATTGGCCAGGGGGTGGAAAACGTTGACTCGTGGGGGTTGTTCCAGGGACTTTTGATGCACTGGAATGGTAAAACCCGGCGCCAGCGGCTCGTGGTGCCTGCTGCTTTAAGGGGTAAGGTGGTATGGGCTGTTCATGAGCGGCTTCTGCACTTGGGGGTTCATAAGACCTTTGCCACGCTCCAGCTAGATTTCTTCTGGCCGGGCATGGAAAAGGACGTGGGGGACCTCTTGGGGTCGTGCACGCAATGCGCGCAGAGGAAGCCACCTGCTAGGGGATCCAACCCTCCGCTGCAGTCCATAAAAGTTTCCAGGGTTAACGAGCTCGTCGCTCTGGACATACTTGGCCCATTTCCCGCTACACCCAGGGGCAATAGGTATTTACTAACGGGGGTTGAATACTTCACGAGATGGCCTATGGCCTGGCCCCTGGCGAACCAATCGGCAGCAGCCATCGCGGAGGCCTTTGTCCAGGGCTATGTCCTCGACAAGGGTGCTCCGGAACGGCTGCTTACTGACCAGGGTAGGAATTTTTCTGGTAAACTCCTACGTGAGGTGTGCGACCTCTTGGGTACGGAGAAGGTTCGGACCTCTCCGTATCACCCACAAACTGACGGGATGGTGGAACGGCTGCATCGGACCATCACGTCCATGCTGTCCCAGCAGGTGTCGGTATCCCAGACGGATTGGGACCTCCGCATAGCCGGTGTGTTGCAGGCCTACAGAATGGCTCCCCATGCGGCCACCGGATTTTCCCCTTTCTTTTTAATGTATGGGCGCGAAGTTAACCCTCCTGTGGCGACCCAGCTGAAGCTCTCGGCGCTCCAGGCGAAGTCTAAGTTGTCCGAACACGTTAAATTTAACATCGCTCAATTGTCTGAGGCGCGGGAAGCGGCCGTGCAAAATTCTGAACTCCGCCAGAAGGCGAACGAGAGGCTTCGGTTGGGGCGGGTGCAGGTGGTCAAATGGGTACCAGGGGACAGGGCGTGGTTGCACTGTCCTCAGGTGCCGCTGGCAACCTCATCGAAATTGGTACGGCCGTGGCGGGGGCCAGTGGAGGTCGTGCAGGTTTTGCGGCCGCAATGTGTTCGCGTCAAATGGGGGAGGCGCCGGTGGTATGTGCACCCCTCAAGGTTAAAACCATTCGTCACGCCGCCCCGGGGTTCACACACACACACGCATGGCCAAACGTGTGAGGGTGTCGCCGACTCCCCGTCGTCGCTGCACTCGCCTAACCTGACGCCAACTGTTCCGCCCCCAGGTGAAACAGGAGTGACGGGCCCACGCCCACCAACCCCTCCCGGAGGGGTCGGGGGTCACTCGGCAGCGGAGCCTGACCCTCTTGCACCCGGACCGTCAACAACCGTCACTGAGCGTGCCGGGACGGACCCTTGTGACGGACCCGCCGCGAGAACGCGCGCCAAAACGCGCAGACTTTTGTGAGGTCGGCCGTTGGGGGGCCTTGCGGACAAAAGGGGAGGGGTGTTGTGAGGTCGGCCGTTGGGGGGCCTTGCGGACGATGGGAAAGGTGACGTCCGGAGTGTATATATATGTTGGTTTTGGGGTGTTATCCGGGGGGGGTGCGTCGGGTTATTTTTTTCTCTCTCTCTCTCTCTTCCTCTCGTTGTTCTTGTTCTTGTTAAAAATTACGCGAGGCACACACACGGGGTTTTTGTGAGGGATGCACCTTTATTCTGATTTTTTTTTTGCAGCCAGGGACGGCTGCGAGCTGTACAGGGGGGGGTGATGTAGAGGTGTAATTGCGCATGGCTACGAATGTTGAGGTGTGATTATGCATGGCCACGGATGGCCAACAAACACAATGGGCGGGGTTACGGCCGTACACAAGGGTGGCGCTAGCACCGACGTCCGCATGTGTATCCCCCACGGGCCCCCCCTCGGGGGCGAGTCCTATAAAAGGTGATGAGCTCGAGGGCTCGGGGTCGGGACTCAGCTATAACCAGAGAAGACGGAAGACCAGCTAGTGTAGGCCCCAGAGCTCCCCTGGCTCGCTGTCCTTATAAGGGCCGACCAGGGCAAGCCGGTGGCGTGGCCCCGAGAGCCCAGACGAAGCTGGTCTGGTGACTCAGGGAGCCGGGATCCCAGCTTAACCAAGCTGGGACAGATAGCCTCCCCTAGTCCCGTAGTGGAGGAATTGGTATAGGTTAGAGGGGTTAGCTGTCGAGAAATCCCTGTAGCCCAGTGACCTGTAAATAACTGTGTTGGTGTAATAAATAAGTGTGCCTCCGATCCTGTCGTCAAGCCTCCATATACTTACTACACAAGCATCGCTGACTGTAACGAATGTTCCTTTTTTATTCCATTGTGTTAAATCACAAATGTGTAATGTATTTTAGTTGTAGACACTATTTGATACACTAATCGAGAAATTTAAACCAATACACCGTTCAAAAGTAATGCAATGCTAAATCATACATTTCGATTTAAAGCTTTCGTGACTGCAGGGATTCATCTTCTTGGTTCTTTCGGTAAAGTCATCACGTAGAAGGGAAGTAATAAAAAAATAAAAAATAAAACTAATAAAATAATTCTCACGACGTTTCGGCCACAACGCAAGCAGCCGTCTTCAGGTGGAGAACAGGTCTGTCAAGTAGACTTCAGACTCTGTCTACTCGACAGACCTGTTCTTCACCTGAGGACGGCTGCTTGCGTTGTGGCCGAAACGTCGTGAGAATTATTTTATTGTGTTTTATTTTTATTATTTTATTACTTCCCTTCTACGTGATGACTTTACCGAAAGAACCAAGAAAATAAATATTCTCACGACGTTTCGACTGCAACACAGGCAATCACCATCAGTTGTGAAATCCACAGCAAGAAAATTTGAAAAAAGTGGCGATTTTTCTTAACGTCAGCACCATAGACAGCGATTTGGCAGTTTGCCAGATGAACGAGTCCATCTTTGTTTTATTGTTTTATATTTTATTATTTCCCTTCTACGTGACTTCACCGAAAGAGCCAAGAATATAATGCTACAACATGTTAAAGCAACACAATCTGGTTATACCCAGCACGTTATGGGCAATCTCCCCAACTCGGTGAGTGTGACGATGAGCTGTATAGGAATGTTTTTGTTTCACGAACTTGTGTTCACTTTGGTGTGATCTCGCCTCACGTTGACCTCCTTTTCACAGATACTCCCAATTCACTTAGCACGTGTTTAAAACACGTGCTTCCCCAATGTATCGCCTTTGTAAAACAACAAGTTTATTAACTCGGCCAAGCTTTCCTGGATGAAACTTGTTTTATTTTCTTGGATAAAAAAACGTGTATTCTTACTTGCCTGGATAGAACATGTATTCTTACTGCCAGAGGTCGCAAATGGGTTTTGATTCCTTACCCGTACCCGGCCGCACCAGGGTCACAAACGGCTACCCGTACCCGGCCGGGTACGGGTAGCCGGGTTTCGGGTAGGGTACGGGTATCGGGTACCCGGTTGCGACCTCTGCTTACTGCCTGGATGAAACATGTGTTCTTGCTTTGCTGTACTTGGTGGTAGTAAACCGACGTTTGTCACCATTTTGGAACGGTAAAGCAACTGGTGTTTATTCTCGAGATTATCAAAAGAATGTGAATCTTCTGGGAATGAGAACACTGATCCTGTATCTGATTTCTACTCCTGTTTCAGGTTCCTTGTCAACATCCGGTGTGGGCAACGTGGGGATACAGAATGATAAACCACCAAGTCCTCAGCCTAGTAAGTAAACTTGTGTATAACTAATATATACGTCGAAGGAAATGTTTTTTATAATTGTGCGTATCGTGTTAGAAAGCTGTACATCCATTTCAATAAATGAGCCTCTTACACTAGAAATGTTTGTATGGAAACATGCAAATGGACAAATGCGTTCGGAATTGCTAACTTATTACCCATGAACTTGCATTGAAATTCCCAAACGAATTGCACTGGTAATAAGATGGAATGTGCATTTCATTCTTTAAAAATAAATAGTTTTTTTGTGGTACATTTATAGAAATTGGTGTCTGGTCCAACACCAATTGAGACTAGGCTCTAAGAAAAGCTGTCTCGGGTGTGGATCAATCAACTTCAAGGACAGTGCATATCATTATCAGAGTTGTTTCTTTTTAATTGCATTTTGACTTCTTGTGTTGAGGTTATTGCAAACATGATGCCTTGTATAAAGGTGTCAGATTTTGTACCAGTTAAAAGGGTAAAAATCTACTACTATATTTTGCCACTGGTAAAGGAGATGTCTCATAGTGTAAATGCTTACCCCAAGCTTTCAATACTCTGATAGTGCGCTGTTTTTGAGTTGTGCGCCTTTTGGCGTCATCTGGTCCAACACCAATGGAGACTAGGCTCTAAAGAAAGCCGTCTTGGGTGTGGACCAATCAACTTCAAGGACAGTGCACATCATCATCAGAGTTGTTTGCATTTTGACTGCTTGTGTTGTGGTTATTGCAAACATGATGCCTTGTATAAAGGTGTCAGATTTTGTACCAGTTGAAAGGCTAAAAACCTTTCACTACACGCCAGTGTTGTCAGAGAGAATGAGCGAGTGTAGAGTGAGCTTAGGTTGGTGGTCACCTCCCTACGTGTCATGTGAACGTGTTACCGTTCTGTTCAGAAATAAATAGAGCTGTCTTTCCAGCTCAGTGTGTGCGCCTCGATCGAACCATCTCACTCGCATCATCAGGTTTCCTGTGTGCTGTACAAGTAACGAGTCGCCACGAACAGTGACAAACCTAACTAAATGGCCGGTGGTGTCTGGTTTTACGGCACATTTATATGAATGCGATCTAACCCAAAGAAAACCTTTATTATGCAGGATATTGGTCGCGAGAGCCGGCGTGTTCAACTACGTGGATCCTTTATCTAAAACGCCATCCTATTTGTGTGTTGCCCGCACCACGTTGTGCATGTACACAAGCTGTAGATGTCGCCGCACAGAGGAGCCAAGACTCACGTGGTGCTTTGGGCAATTCTCCAGTGCCTCCACCACCTTCGTGAGTAACGCACCATCGCTGTGACACTTGAATCCGTAGCGTAATGTCATGGTTTTGCTTGATAATGTTACTGGTAGACTTGCAACACAATATGCGTGCATCATTAGACCTTCTTTGCCAGTACGAAAATATAATAATAGGATTTTTCACCTTTTTTCAGGCAACAAAACTAAAAAAATATTTTGATGTGGACCAATCAGCTTCAAGTACAATGCCAATATATTGTCATAGTGTGTTTTTGTTTGCATTTTGACTGCAAGTATTGTGGTTAATGCAGACATGAATCCTCGTAGAAAGGTTTCAGTTTTGTTGCCAGAAAAAAAGGGGAAAAACCCTACTATTAATATGCGTGCAATTGAGATACTTTCCAAATGTTAAGATCCATAGTACAAAGGTGGCATTTTTAAATCATCCTTTATATTAAGTTCACTTGCTTGCTTGCTTGCTTGCGCGCTTACGACCATGCAAATATTTCGGTCGTTTTTTAACCCACTTCCCATGATCCAATCGGGCTGACATTTTGCACACAGACTCGTTGTGCGTGACAATTTATTTTCGTGAAAAAATTTTTCCAAAATTTTCCACTTTTTAGGGAATTTTTTTTTATATTTAATTACCAATTGCTTAATGGTGGCAGGCAATCATCTGACCCATAGGTGGCAGCCATCTCAAGCCAGAGGATGAGAGGACTCTAGCCGCCACGCATATAAAGGATTTATAGTGAAAAACTTTGTTTTTACGGGTTAATTTTTTGCATATAAAAAATGAAAATTAAGCACTTGTGAGCATGCTGGCTATGTTATCTAACGACTCTTTACCATTTTATTAGTCCGTCTGCAGTTTAAATTTTGTATTTTATTTTATTCTCAGGTATAAGCATGTCTCTTTATGGGTGGGAAATATCACTTCTGCTGTTACTGAAAAAATGCTTCAAAAGCTGTTTCACCCGTAAGTATGTATTTGCGGCTATACGGTGTGTTACTATTCCAAACATCTAATATTGACTGCATTCACAATACATATTCTTTACCAAAAGAACCAAAGAGTAATGGATTCGTGCGGTCGCGAAAGCTTCAACTCAACATCGCCCCGATCGATTTGTCACTTGTACAGATTTGGACAGATCCACAGCATCCGAATACTGGTGGACAGGAAGTGTGCGTTTGTCAACTACACGGACAAGGAGGCCGCTGAGAGAGCTCTCTGGTCCCTGCAGGTGCGTTTGTGGATGCCGAGGGAAGGGCCTCTATGGCATCTGCGGTCACCGTGCGCCTCTGTTAATCACACTGGTCAACACACTTTGTCTGGCATAAGGTATTACAGTGATCCCTCGCCACTTCGCGGTTCAAGTTTCGCGGCCTCAGTGCATCGCGGATTTTTCTAACTGATTTAAAGGCCTCATTATTATACCTGTGCAGTAACACCATCATCATCATTCATCATCACATTCATCGAACTGCACAGGTCTGTCATCGTCGTCATCGTCATTGTCATTGTCGTCGTCGTCATTACTGGAGTCAAGTCTCAAGATACTACTGTCATTGGTGAGTGTAGAACACCATAATACGTATCGTAGTGACATAAAAGCCTGGGCATGCATACGTGCTCGACATGCCTAGCACGTTCGCGGTTGTGCTGCCCTTCCGCGCGTTTCCCGGTTGGCTGTGCTGCGTGTTCATCAACGTGGATGTCCGACGTTTCGCCGCACGTTGCCGGGAGCTTTCCGACCGAATTCCCAGCACGTGCAGATAATTATTGGACATCATCGTGCCGAGTACCAAAGCGTGTTGCAGCGGGAAAGCGCATAGCAGCGTGATTATGCAACACCCCAGCGCCCCATGTGACGTGAGTGGTTTATTAGAACAGATGTTTATTGCCGAGTTTACGCTCATGCTAATGTTCTTGGGAGCGCATTTCCCTCTGCTCAAATTTGCCGGCAGCATGTACAAGATGCCGCACTGGCAAGCCACATTAGAAAGCCGGAGTATAATTTAATGAGTACAACCAGCATTCGTTTCCCCGAGCGTATAAAACTATCAACTAAACTATTTTGTTTGATTTTGTCAGGTAAGGCCCACCGAGCAAAGATGCTCTTTTTCATAGCAACAGGTGTTGAACCAACAGAGAGGGCCATTGCCTCAGCCTGCTGCTCTGAAAATAGCCAGTTTCTCAATATGCTGAGACATTGCTGGCATATAAATAGTACATACGATAGGCGTGGTCATTTAAGCAACTTAAACGATGACACTATCTTTGATGGAACCCAACAATCTTCACCTGTCTCAGCTAACAAAATAAAATAAAACAACAGTAGACAACACCGCCTCTCAAACCATGAAGCACCACTTCTCTCTAATCAGGATTTGCCACGTGGTGTAGGCATGGAGCTGCCAGGTGGCTAAAGTATGACGGTGCCGAGTGTCACTGTCCTGATATGCGTGGTGGATTAAATAAAAAAAACATTTTACCAGGTAAGGCCCACTGAGCTATATAGCTATTACAGGTAGGAACAACAGGTTCCACACTACCCGCCAGGGATTATTTGTCTGTCTGTCGTGCACGAATGCGCTGTCCAACCAAGTTCCTACCTACCCACTCCGAAGGAATGTGTTAATAAGTGACCTGGCCATAAATGATAGCCCATAGAAGTGCCTTATAATGCGGAAATGTATAGTAGCCAAATTATTATTTTCTCCAGGTTACTCCAGTTTCCTCCCACATGAAGCCAAAACACCCATTCACGGTGTTGGCCTAACGTACGGCAAGACTCTCCTGAAACAGAGTCTTGAGACTCAATGAGTCCTTCCTGCGTAAATAATAATTGCCATGATTGTCGTTAACAATCGTTGGCAATAAAACGGGTAAACTAGCGCTCGGGTTTATTGAACCATTCTTTCAGCCTTGTGACCATGTGCGCTTGAATTATTTTTTCGTGAGGTCCGGTGAAAATCCGCATTGCAAAGTTTGGCAGCGAGAAGGTGCCACGGTGTTTTTTGTTTTTTCAAGGTGGTCCCTCTACCCACACTGCTCCCCCCGCCCATCTAACTCTCTCTCTCTCCCTTTCCACTGGCCCTGAAGGAGCCTGCCTGCCCAGCTGCAAGTTCCAGGCCATATTTGCACATTGCGTCGTCAACATCGCTGAGTGAGCGTGCCTTTATATGGAAGAAATTCCGCACAATAAAAAAAATCCATTTCGGGCGAGAGAAATTACGGTGTTCCAATCTGGCTATCAAGCGAGAGGAGCGGCGAATTTCTTTTCTTCATTATTTGGCAGGGGTTGGAGAGAAAAAAAAGTGTTCCTGTCGCGAGCAAGATTTGAAAATGTGGTGATTAAAACATAATTCGAGACAACGTTTTATACGCAGCTAAATTGAATCCGACACCCCCCCCCCTCCGCGCCACCGCCACGTTCCCTCCGCGCGACGTTCTGTTCGCTCCTACGCGCCGCTGGGGTTGGATCATGCCGCTTACTTGTCGCAAAAGAGTTTCTAGCAGCGGAGCAATTCACGCGCAACGCCTCCTCCACTCGAGCAATAAAAGCATCAGCCCAGAAATGCAATCTGCAGCGGTGGCACGATGATCACAGTCACATAAGAAGGGAGGGGCTGCTGGGGGCTCTGGGTTCCCGGGCGGGTCCAGACGCTTAAGCCTCTGGGCGCCAGGCGCTGGGTTCCCAGGGGGTCCAGACGCTTAAGCCTCTGGGTGCCGCCAACGGGGGGGGGGGCTGTGTGTGCTCTGTGGGATGTCTGGTGGCGCACACGGCCCCACCCCTCGTTGGACCAGGCATAAAAGGGGAGCTCCCTGGACGATCGGGGCCCAGTTGTAACTCAAGACCCAAGACCCACGACCAGCCATCTGAAGACCCTGGGATGCTGTGAGAGCCAGTGCTGGGACTCTGGAACTCTCGACTCTACGACCTTGTGAGGGCGAGTTCCGGAGCGTAGCCAGAGTAGAGTATCTAGGCTGTGTAGCTAGGCTGTGTACCTTGGCTTTAACAGAGTATCAGGACTGTTGGGAGTACTGTTGGAGTGTTGTAATAAAGAAGTTACCTCTACAAGTGTGTGTGTACACTGTGTACACACACACAGTGTACACACACAATGTACACACACTCACTGTGTACACACACATAGTGTACACACACAGTGTACACACACAGTCTACACACTCACTGTGCACACACACAGTCTACACACTCACTGTGTACACACACAATGTACACACACACTCACTGTGTACACACACATAGTGTACACACACAATGTACACACACACACAGTGTACACACACACTCACTGTGTACACACAGTATACACACACAATGTACACACACACAATGTACACACACACACACTGTGTACACACACAATAATGTCCACGTTGTAGTTTCTGAGCTCACGCACCCAAGGGGTCTCTGTTCAAGAGATGGAGCAATGGAAATTTAATCTAAAAACTTTAACTCCAATCCAGCTCTGTGACGTCACCCTGCACCGCGCTCTTGTGCGTGACGTCACCTCCGCGATGGTCACTGCTGAATCTGTGGGAGGGGACTGTCTTGTATCCCGGAAGTGACGTTATGTCACTTTCTGCTGCCGCGTGACGTCACGAGGTAACAGAAAGCTGCCCGCTCCGCGCTTTTTCTGAAATCTGAGGTGATAAATTCTTGTGGTGGTTTGTGGTTGTTGTTGTTTACCAAGGTAGAGCCTCTCGTAGGGATGTCAATTGAGCAGCATTGGAATCGATGTCCAGGTTGGAACATTACAAGGCGCGGCCTGGCCACGCGGGGCCTTGCCTCCTGCCCTCGCCTGAGTTAGTTTAGTTTGTCTTCACGCGGCTCGCCACTTTGTAACTCTGTTTTATTCTACAGTGAGGGGACAAGTATTTGATCTAAATTTAGATTTAAAGCTTTCGTGACTGCAGGGATTCAACTTCTTGGTTCTTTCGGTAAAGTCGTCACGTAGAAGGAAAGTAATAAAATAATAAAAAATAAAACATAAAAATTATTATATTACTATTATATTATTTTATTATGTTTTATTTTTATTATTTTATTACTGCCCTTCT